ATATATATATATATATTTATATATATATAATATATATATATATTTTGATATATATATATATATATATACACATATATATATATATATATATATATATATATATATATATATATATATATAAACAAATACAAATAAACCAAATGTATAAACAAAGGGAGGAAAATAAACAACAAATATATACTTACATACATATATTTACACACACCCAGTAGCACTACCTACATGTGCATTTGCGCACACACACACACACACGCACGCACGCACGCACGCGCACACACACACACACACACACACACACACACACACACACACACACACACACACACACGCTGTTCATGCATTCAAACATACCCAATATGCAGTTATTAATTCAAATGTATAAACTTGGCATACTTCACATATATGTGATTGCATCTTTGTGTGTTTTGATCTCATGAGCGCGCAGTTCAACTGATGATCAATACTCAGACGAGCGATGAGAAGCTGATGAGAAGCTGGAGTTTACTGAGCTCTGCTGGTTATGAGGGGGCAATGCAAAAAGAAAAGCACAAACTAAAAATAAGCAGATCTTTACCATATGCTAGAGCAGACACATATATAGTTATCATTATATTTATATTTACAGGTATTCTCCTTATTGTGGATGATGCTTAATTCATCGACTCCTCTGGAATTCAATTATTAATCAATTAATAAATTGCATTGCAACTTTACACATACAGCTTCACTGCAACTTTACTAACTGTTTCTAAAATATTCATGCTTTCTTTGGATCTCAGTAAATTTCTAAGATATTGAATAAAGCCAGTTTCTTCTGGGGGACGCAACAGAAATGCAAAGAGTGCAGGTACAACATGTATATCCACACAGAAGTAAGTATCTGCAGCGACATTTTAGAATAACCTGAAGAGCATTGTCGCTCTATTATTTCCTTTAACTCACAAATTTCTCTTTTCTGCTTTCTGTTCCTGCTCTTCAGCTTCTTCAGAGATGCTTTAATCTGCTCCATTTTTACAGAGTTCTCCTGCTCCTTCATCTCCGCCTCTCCTCTATAATCCTCTGAGCCTGCTGCATTATCTGTGTAACCTCACTGCTGAAGTGACGGTTTTCATTCTGGATCATCAGTTCATCCACTTCCTGAAGGAGTCGTGTCACTTGTTCTCGGTTTTCAGGGTTTTTGTGGCTTCCGAATCTCTCCACGAGCTCTTGTATCTTCAGCTTTTGTCGGCACAGCGACAGCCGCGGAGGAAATGCGCTACTGCAAGGACACTTTGCTAATAAACATTTCCTGACGATCTCTTATTATATTCTGGTAATCATCTCCAGATTTTGCACAACTGCCATTGTGTCAAAAAATACTCAGTCTGAAGTTATTTTAACCCTCTGTGCTCACTTTACATTCATTTACAACACAAAGATAAAACTTAGCATTTAGCAAGTTAGCCTAAACACAAAACAAACTGCATGGTTACAAAGATATCTGGACATTTTTATTACATTTTGTTTTAATTCTGATTGGATAAGTCTTAAATACACAATTTAAAGGAAAACTTACCTAAATACACACCTGCCTAGCCTCAAATACACAGCTAAAACTGCCTGTTAACACATCTTTAAAGAAGTTTATTGTTACATATAAAGCACTTCGCCCTGCTGAAAAATCCAAATTAAACCAGCCTAGGCTGGTTTAAGCTGGATTTTTCAGCAAGGCTCTACTCGTCAAGGGTCAAAATCAAAGCTTAAGTAGTTCATTAGTGGAAGTATTAAAAAAGAGGCACCTAGGAAAACAAACACGCTACACTGAAACATGTCTTTGAAAACGTTTATTGATATTTTTAAAGCACATCTCTGCTGAAAAATCCAGCTTAAACCAGCCTAAGGTGGTTGGCTGGTTTTAGCTGTCATAATAGTATGATATGAAAGTATTTTTACCTAATTAACCACACGACTCCTGTGCGAATCCTACAGTGTCTCAGTTGTTCCTAATTTCCGAGACTTAGCGCGAAGCTAATCTGCGCTGATTGGACCGATGACAGTCTGTCACGATTGGTCGACTGCCTTCAGTCAGAGAATGAAATGCCAAACAGCTAATCAGCAATATAACAGTAATCACAGTTCATACACGCTCCATAGTGTAGGCGTGGATTTTAGCTGCCCACAAACACACAAACACACACACACCTCTGGACGACAACGCTCCCGCTTCCGCCCGCACCCGCCAGGTTTTAGCCTGAACCCGACCGCTCCCGCTTATATTTAGAATTTCTTGTCCCGGTGCCCGAACCGCCCCGTTTTCTGCCCGCCGTGCCCGATCCCGCTAAAGAGCGGGGGAGAACATAACCGAAAATCACCCAGCAAAACAGTCCAGAGACAGCCAGACAGAGCTCTCTCTCTCTCATACGCGCGCACTAACACATACACACAAGCGCCAAGCAGACACACAGGCAGGCAAAGCTCTGTCTCATTCGCATAGCAATATCCACGATATTGCTAGACAGCCCGCTCCCGTCCCAAATTAAACCTGTTACCGACCGCTCCCGCGATTGATTCGGAAATTTATTCCCGCGCCGCAGAAATCTGGCGCGGGGACAGCCGCGGGAATGCTGACCTCTACCACGGAGCTCCGTAAACAAACAGCACGCGTCGCGTTTTTAATGTGACTTTGCACGCGATAAGAGAATATAGCCAGTTAACCTGATACAGTACACGCGGTTACAAGTAACAAATCACAACTAAATACATTTGCAAGCTAGAGTCAACGAGGCAACTTTAATCGCACATACTTACATTTGAGAAATGGAGGAAGAAAAATCCATCCTGACGTCCAGCAGTAAGTTACTCTTTACTGATCCTTCCTTTAACAAACGCAGATGAAGTATTCTTTGTAGCATGTAGTTTCCAGTAGTTTCCAACTGCTTGGTTATAATGCTGAGGTTTCATCTCTGGGTAGAGAATCGATAATGTCCATCTGCAGTGTGACTTCAATCGACCGGCATGTTTGTGTGCGTGTGTTTGTGGGTGTGTGTGTGTGTGTGTCTGGGTTTCTGCGTCAGAGGGCGGGGCCTCAGGTTTGAAATCTCCCGGGTTTGCGCGTGCACGTGAATAACTTGGTTTCGTTCGTACGTCATGGCGAAACACCTAATGACTCGGTATCAAGGCGACTCGTTTGAAGCACTATGAGTCGACTCTTTTATAGATGAATCAACCGTTTTAAACACTGTACACTAACAGATTTAAGCCTTAGCTGGATACTTCACTTCACTTAGAGCTGTGTTACACACTACATGGAGGGGAATTTTCAAAAACCCATAATATGGGCTCTTTAAGTTCATTTGTTTATAAAGCACATTTAAAAACAGCCACAAGACTGACCAAAGTGCTACACATAAGAAGTCATACAAATCAAGAGGAATAACAGATTTACAAACGCAATAGACAAAACTACTAGCTTAATATTGATAGGCCAAATTGAAGGTACGTTTTAAAATGTAAAAATATTAATTATGTAACAGACTATAGCTATACCTCGTGCTACACAAACGCACATTCTGGTTGATTTTATTTAGATTTATGTAATTCATTAATATTATATGTATAAATAATCAGCAAAAATGGATGTGAGAATATTTGTAGGTGCACAAAAACTGAAGAACATGATCACAGAAGAAAGAAATTCAAGCATGTTTAGAACAAATAAAGCATGAAAGAATTGTAAATTTGGGTGAACTATACAATTATCAGAAGAAAACACTTGTAACACAGGCTCATTGGAAATACACGCTTTTGTAAAAACTGCAAAAATGTACTTTAACACACGTTAATTGAGGTTTCTGGTAAAATAAACACTAGGGGGCTGTATGACGACAGACAATTTTGTTCCTTTTCACATTAATGATATTTACAGGGACGTATTATCTATGAATAAAGGATTATTTTTAATGCTTTGCGCGCGCACACAAACACACACACACAAAAACACCACAAAACGACTTAATGCTGTCTATAAATATGTTTGCGTCACCTATCTATCTTCATATGAACAACTTTTCAGGTGTGGTCAGTTTTCTCGTAGCTCACTTTGTATGGTCACTCTACCACAGAACAGGTAAATGCAATATAAAATCAACGTAAAATTATGTAACCAAGATGCAATATTATTTTATGTCTGCTTGTGAAAACACTATTGGTTGGGTTAAGCGAAGGGTTTAGCTCAGCGGTTCGCTAGCTGATATGTAAGACAAGCTCCGTCTTCTCATGTACAAGAAGGATGTGCGTCTGAATTGAACAACAAAACATACCTAAAGTAACAAAACTTACGCCAATTAACATATTTTAGATTCGCAAAAATGTAGACATCGCCCTCTAGTGGATTTGCCATCTGAAACGTGCGGCAAAATGTACAGAAGTGAAGTATTTTAGATTCAGACAGAGCCCTCTAGTGGATTTATCATCAGATAAATACAAAACAAAACCCAAACATCGCATTTCAGATTTTTGGAAATATAGACAGCGCCCTCTAGTGGATTTGTCATTTGAAACCTGTAACAAAATGTACCAGGAGCAACGTATTTATGTTTTGTATAATGTATGTAAATGTCGGCTGAGGCACGTAGTTTCAATGATACTGGATTGAAAAATTGTGTAATAATACAACTTTAGAGATTAACCCTTGTGTATTGTTCAAATTGACTACCCTTTGGTGATGTTGGTGCTGTTTTTGCCCCATTGACTTTCATTATTATCACATTTAATGGTTGTAATGATTATATAATCATGCATTCTTGATTTGAGCTGGTTTTCCCTGATGAGAAGAGGTAACATTGGTCATTTTTCCTGTTGATTTGTATGGAGTTCCTGTTTATATGTATAGTGAAGTAAAACAGCAGATTATAGTGTGTGTGTGTGTGTGTGTGTGTGTGTGTGTGTGTGTAAATACACTTACTATGTTTACTTAAAATAAGATTAGTCAGCAGAAATCATCCCATTTGCTGAAACACAGAGAACTCTGTGGCCAAATAAAGACCCAAAACCAGCCCAAAGTGGATGAAAACAACCCGACAGCACGCAATGATTAAAAAAGAACTAAAGGAGCATAACTGTGATTTTTAAATGAGGACTCTGCATGGTTTTCACATGTGAATGGATCATTGGATGGTGCATTGGGTCATCGATGCCACTCTAGCAGCGCCAGCCATGGCGGCTGCAGTGAATTTTAAAGCAAAACCTGCATTTACAAAAGCTCCTGAACCCAACAAGTCGGCCAAAATCTGGGCCGCCAATCCAGCTTCAGCCACCGGAGCCGCAGGAAACAGAAATGCCAAGAGTGCAGGAGCATATCCAGCTCCAACACCCATCAAAAACAGAGAGAGCATCACCAGAATCTTCCTGTATTTCTCTGAATTGTTCTGCTGCTCTTCTTCTCCCCCCAGCCTCCTCTGCTCCTCCTCCTGGACCCAGATCTCAATTTTCCTTTTTTCTTCTTCTTGTCTTCTATCTCTCTCCTCCTCCTCAATTCTTTCTCTCTCCTGAAATCCTCTCATGTGCTGCTGCTCATTCCACAGATTCACCCTGAGCTGCTGTATTTTCTGTTCTTCCTTCTTTATATCCGCCTCAATCTGCTTGATCTTGTCTTGTCTACATTTCTTTTCTCTGTCCATTTCTTGTTTTTCTTTATTTAGTGATGCAATGAATGCAGCCCAGCGATTATCAGCCATTCTCCTCACCTCCTCCTTCATTTTCTGCACTCTCTCCTCTATAATCCTCTGAGCCTGCTGCATTATCTGTGTAACCTCACTGCTGAAGTGACGGTTTTCATTCTGGATCATCAGTTCATCCACTTTCTGAAGGAGTCGTGTCACTTGTTCTCGGTTTTCAAGGTTTTTGTTGTTGAAGGCCACGAAACGGCTTCCGAATTTCTCCACGAGCTCCTGTATCTTCTGCTTTTGATTCATTATGAACTCTTGAATGGATCCTCCATTAAGTCTGTCAGCGTGTGTGAATATGAGGATGGTGTATCGGCTGATGTCTTCATTAAACATCTCCAGGATCTTCTGTACGGTTCGCTGCTGCTCTTCTGTGTATCTCTCTATCGGTATAACCAGAAGAAACGCATGAGGACCAGGAGAACTCAAAGATAGGCAGCTGATCACTTCATGTTGAACCTGTTCTTCTGTTAAATCGGTGTCGAAGAACCCCGGTGTGTCCACCAGCAGCAGGTTTCATCAGTCCTTTAGGGTGGAGCTATCAGTCCTTTAGGGCGGGACTATTAGTCCTTTAGGGCGGGACTATCAGTCCTTTAGGGTGGAGCTATCAATCATTTAGGGCGGGACTATTAGTCCTTTAGGGTGGAGCTATCAGTCCTTTAGGGAGGGACTATTTTAGTCTAAATTGACTATTTTTGGACTAAATTAGTCACACATGTAAGCACCTCAGACATTCTCTGATATTTCACTACACTGTACACCAGGGGTCACCAACATGGTGCCGGTGGGCACCAGGTAGCCCGCCAGGTTCACATGAGTTGCCCGCGAGCCTGTTCTAAAAATAGCTCACCATAGCACCACATATGAGTAAGCTGCATCTAATATTTTTATAGGTATTCTTTTTAAATCACACTTGCATTAGTGTAAATTTGAAAATTACTTTAAGTTATATATTAAAAAAAACTTTAAAAACAATTTCAGACAAATGAAGTGTTGCGTATTGATATTTGTCTAACTTGTTAAATCATTGTTGACAACTACTGTGAGAAATCATTAACATGATCAATGTCTTCACATAGATGAATATTAATAATTATTAATAATAACATATAATTAAAAGTAAATTAAGATAAATGTGTTATTTAATAACTGGTAGCCCTTCACACTAATCGGTACCCAAGAAGTAGCTCTCATTATCCTAAAGGTCGGTGACCCCTGCTGTACACTGTTATTTCCAAGTCTTGTTTAATGACATTTCTGAGCGTGTTCACAATTGTTTGCTGCCTGTTATTAGTTTAATCTTTGTTTTTTGACCATCCTTGTATTAATAAATCTACACCTCCATCGTCAATTCATAACAGTATTTCAGTTTGATATAAATTTATCTGTTAGGGCTGATGAATAATGATGTATTATTTTGCTAGTATTTTTATAGTTACAGATGACCCAATACTGTAGTTTTCTACAATACACCACATTTTAGTCAAAACTAACATATATTACAGTTTATCAGTTCACTATAGTTAATACTGTACTAGGGGAGCACGGAGCACAAAGTAACGCTGGGTTAAATGTAACACTGTCCTCTAACTTAAACTCCTCACAATAACTGCACTGTTTAACATTTGCACATTTAAAATTTGCACATTCACTGCACCACATTGCACTGTTTACTTATTGAACTGTACACACCCACTGCACATGGACATTTGTAATTATGTACACACCCACGATACACATACAATTGTAATCATGCTTATTTATCTGCATACTACTGATTATTAATAGCAACCTGCACATATATTCATATATTGTAAATCTGCTCATAGCTTTTCCAACCTGTATATAATGTTGATAGTACATCCATCTGTAAATATCACCATAGTTTTCTATAACTGCACTTTAGAACTTATTCCTGTGTCCTGCACTTGCTGCTATTGCACTACTGGTTAGACCTAAACTGCATTTCGTTGCATTGTACTTGTACATGTGTAATGACAATAAAGTTGAATCTAATCTGATCTAATCTAATTTAAGTTATTTGCTCAGGGTTAACCATGGCATGCTTCCAAGGCTTATACCACAGTGTCGGTAGACGTCTTCCTGACAATTATTAAAAAAGTTCTGTGAAATTTGGATGAGAAACACAGGTGAAACTATTTCTGCAGCATAAATGTATTTTTTATTATAGTCGATATTTTTTTATTTAAAATAATCTGTGAAAATGTGCACGGAAAATCTTATATTGTTGTGATCAGCGCCTTCTAGGCTAAAAGATGAAGCCATTTTAAAAGATGTAAACCACACAGTGACTGCTGGCCAGTTTTGAGGAAAACATGACACAGCAGGGTTAGTTGTTACAGCGTGTTACAATTGAGCCACAAACTGTTGGACACCAAGTAAACCAACCAATTTTGAGTGTAAAGATGGAAACTTTTTACATAAAAATGTTTTTAATAGAAAAAAATATTTCATAGCTAATACTGCAAATAAATGCCTTATATAATAATGCAAATAAATCCAAATTGTTTATAAAGTGTTCATCCAATAAATAAATAAACAAATAAACATACTTAATGCAGAATAAAAAATAAAGTACTGACAAAATATAGCTACTATTTAAAGTAAACTGGATTTAAATCATGCGGCGCAGTGGCACAGTAGTTAGTGCTGTCGCGTCACAGCAAGAAGGTCACTCAGCTGGGTCAGTTGGTGTTTCTGTGTGGAGTTTGCATGTTCTCCCTGTGTTGGCGTGGGTTTCCTCTGAGTGCTCCGGTTTCCCCCACAGTCCAAAGACATGCGGTACAGGTGAATTGAGTTGGCTAAATTGTCCGTAGTGTGAATGAGTGTGTATGGATGTTTCCCAGAGATGGGATGCAGCTGGAAGGGCATCTACTGCGTAAAACATGTGCTGGATAAGTTGGCAGTTCATTCCACTGTGGCGACCACGAATTAATAAAGGGACTAAGCCGAAAAGAAAATGGATGGATGGATTTAAATTAATTGTGAAATCTGCCTTAAGCGTGTGTTATGGCTAACCCTATGTCTGTTACAGCATGCCCCACTGGTAAAGAGAGCATTTTTTAGGGAATTTTTTATTAATTTCTAGACAGTCAAAAGTTTACACACATTTCCTTGGTATTTTTTAGCTTTGGTTTTAAACTGTATAACTTTGGTCAAATGTTTTGGGTCTCCTTCCACAAGCTTCTCACAATAGTTTGCAGGAGTTTTGGCCCATTCCTCCTGCAGAATTGCTGTAACTGAGTCAGATTTGTAGGCTGTCTTGCTCACACAAGCTTTTTCAACTCTACCCACAAATGTTCTATAGGATTCAGATCAGGGCTTTGTGATGGCCACTCCAAAACATTCCCTCTGTTGTCCTTAAAGCACATGTGAACTAATCTGGCAGTGTGTTTAGGGTCATGGTCTGTTCGGAAGAGTCATTTGTGGCCAAGTTGTAATGTCCTGGCTGATGTGTTGAGATGTTGCTTCAGTATTTCTCCATAATGTTCTTTCTTCATGATGCCATCTCTGCTGTGAAGTGGACCAGTCCCTCCTGCAGCAAAACAGCCCCACAACATGATGCTGCCGCCCCCATACTGCACAGTTGGGATGGTGTTCTAGGCTTGTGCGCTTTCCTCTTTGTCCTCCAAATGTAACGCTGCTCATTATGGCCAAACAGTTCAATCTCAGCTCCATCAGAGCACAGGACATGTCTCCACACATCAGTCTGTTCCCAGTGTCATTCAGCTAATGGTAATCTGGCTTTGTTGTTGATTCTGACTTGTTGATTCTCCATGTTGTCACAGAAGGAAGCAGTGTGTTTGAGCTTTTCCTTCAACACTATTCTACAGTTGTGCCTCACATTAACTCAAATGTTGTCAATCAGCCAATCAGAAACTTCCAAAACCCTGACATCATCATCTGAGCTTTTCCAGAGGCAGAATAATCTTATTGTGACAAGTGGGGAAGATGGGACAAGTGGGGAAGATGGGACAAGTGGGGAAGATGGCGCTCTGAACAGTTGTCTTTCCCAAGCTCTGCGACAAATTATTTCGTGAAGATAAGTGACGCTTATCAAGACCTCTTTTGAAACTGATATCTGTAATTTAATGACGGAAGAAACATGTCGAAATCTCAAAAGAAAAGGAAAGATCTATTAGATCTCACGGTTAGCAGTTCGGCTACACCTGCTGTTATGAAGACCAACCCTGATGTCATGATAACTTCTGAAGGGAACAATTTACTGATGGATGTTTGTCATGATTATGACACCCATGTATCTCCGCCATTACCCTCTGTGGATGACTTTCCTTCGTTACCTGTGACTCCAAGTAAGCCACCATCCAGCAAACGTGGTAAACCTGACACATTTGGTGAGGAAATCATATCTACTCTCTCTGAACTGATTAATACCAGGGCAGATGGTATGGAGAAACTGATAAACAACAACGCTATGCGAATTGAAGGTCTTAAAAAGACGGTTGATTTCGTTTGTTCAGAGGTAAAAGAATTGAAAGTAAAGATATCTAATGCCGAGAAATGTATTGATGAGGAAAAGAATCATCGCAACAGGCTGGAGAACCGAATTCGGGAGCTGGAAGGATACCATAGAAGATGGAATCTGAAGTTGTACGGATTTCCGGAGAAAGAAATACAAAGTGTACGGGATGATGTGATTCGAATTTGTCAGGAAGTGCTACCTGATGGAAAATCCAAGCTCCCAGATGTAATCGATTCCGTTCATCGCATAGGAAAACTGCACACTGATAAACCCAGGCCTGTTATTCTTCAGTTTACCAGCAGAGTGCACCGTGACGCAATTTGGAGGGCAGCTAGAAACAACGCATACCTCCGTGACAACAAGCTACGCTTTACAGAAGACTTCTGTGAAGAAGACAGGGAGCGAAGGAAAAAGCTGTGGCCATTAATCAAAAGTGCGAGAGATGCCGGGAAAAAAGCTTACTACGTAGGAGCTCGTGCTTTTGTTGAGGGCAAGGAAATCACACCCCCCATTTAATGGGTTCTGATTTTTTGTTCTGCGGCTATTTGAATACTTTGGCTCATCATGAGCAACTTTAGCCATT